TTGCTTTGGAAAAGCTAACTGCACTGTTTAGCTATTCAAGGTTGCAATTCATAGCTTGAGAAGCATCATGGAGAATAGTAGAGCAGTATCTCAGAAGTATTAGTCCACACTTCTAAAACAAAAAAACAAAACAAAACAAAACAAAAAAAAAAACAACCCAAAAAAACAAACCCAAACCCACACAAATAACTGAAGGCATGTCCAAAACTGGAAGAAGCATATGGAAAAAGACTAAGGGTACTTATCACCACAACTGAAAAACAATCCACTGAACAGGATTAGTATGTTGCAGAAGTTAAATAAAAGAAAATCTACTTTCCTCTTCACTTCTCTTTCCTTCAACTTAGTTTAGCTGCTAAATGATCTTGAGTTAATTAACACGCTCTAGATTCAACTACTTTGAATAGATGAAGAACATCAAGAAAAGTACAGCAGAGGTAAGAGATTAAAGAAGGCAGAAGAAAAGCACAAGACAGGAAAAAATGGGGAAGTGGAGTAGAAAAAAAAATGAATTCCAGAAAGAAGAGATGGCACTAAAACCAGTACCTGGGAAACCCATTAAGACCTCAGGAGTGTCATTACTGGTTATGTGAGCATACTTTAGTTGGACTATTCCCACGAGTAAAAGACACATGTACAAGCATGCCAGGTAAGTATTAATGCCATGGATAAGTGCCTATAATCTGTCTTTACGATGAACATTTTCCAATCTGCATTTTCATTTTCAGTACTGCTAGCATTTAATAATTAGATAATATAAACACGTACCCTGTTAAAAGAACAACTATGCAATTACAATGTTTTAAAACTAAAACCACTAATAAAAGCCTATCTTATGCTTTCACTAGTTAAGCTTACTGAACACTGGAAGCCATTTTTTAAATATAAATTAAAATGACAGCACGTTATGAAAGTGAAACCATTGTTGATAGGAGGCAGAAAACATAACTGAAGCATTTTGCTTATATTAGAGAACTTAGATGGAATATGACACAAGATAGTACTTGAGAATTTTTCTCATTGTGGAGGTGTTCAATAGACATTTTGCACCAGAGAATATTGCAGAAAAGCACAGAAAACTCTCAGGTTCCTATTAGAAAAACTCATTGAACAAATTAAAAAAAATTGCATTTCCAATTGCAGTTGCTAATGCAGATCCCCAAGACCTCTACCATAAATAAAATACATGCCTCTTGGTTTCTACTCCTCACTGTCATGGGAGAACCTCTCTTCAAAACGCCACCATCGCTTCAATTTTACTTTGTGACTTTAATTTGCTTGCAAGTTATTTGACTATTTTACATCAGTTCTCGTTCAAAAAGTGGAAATGTTCCTCCAGGAGGCTAGTCTGTGACAAGCCTCCTCCTTACTTCCAAGTCTAGAGAAAGTACATGAACTCTATGGGCAGAGATGAGGGTGTACTTTCTCATTGTCCGCCACTCTTTCAGGCAACAGCTCCTACCCCAGCAACGTGATGAGCCTGAGCAATTTTACTGGTGCCATCGTGAGACACAACAAGACTTTGAGGGATGAATTCTTCTGTTACATACATTGTGACATCCTCAAAGATTTTAATAGGTTTACCAGACACCAGCTGTGAGACAACCTATATTGCTGGCAGCCACAGGCACCAGGCTGCCTTACATTTTCCTTTTCTTCAATGTCCAGGTAAGCTTTGTTTTGAGAATTTTAATAGCACCAATCATACATCAACATCAGATAGATGTAGCAATGAGAGCACAGAGCTGCTAAAAACAAAGAACTTACAAAGAAAAACTCTTTGCTCAGTCTTTTATTAAATTAAAAAAGAAAGAAAGAAAGAAAAAAAAAAAAGACTACAAGCCCAAACTCACCCATACAACACAATCTCCCTCCCCTAAACCCTGTAGCTGCTGAGGACTTATTCCCTATCCAACACCTTCCATATTTCTAAGAACCTTCAACACTATCTTGAGACGTGGCTATTTTGCTAGTCTGTAGAAATTTGTAGCTATTTGCAGAGATGCAAATGTATTATCATAGCCTTTTCATTTTGAAAAGATTTTCTGTTTGGAATGATTTTATACTGAGAAAAGCTAAAGAGGAAGACAAGCCACACCAACACTGTGTGCTGTCCACTGTGCAATAGCAGAACACATGCTAATTCTGCTGCAACTAGGTACTTCCCTTATCTAGTGCCTGCACTTCATGCTTCACTAGGAGACACTAAAGCGGCGTAAAAACTCTGCCTTATCTCGAGTAGTTTGCAGATCACCTAGCATCACATGAACAGCAGCTTGCTTCTGAGTTGCAGATGGACAGCCTAAATTGTGGGCAGTAACCAGCTAAATGATAGACCATGGAGCATAAATAGAAATCTACCCTTGCCTCCATCAAATTTGTCACTGAAGACTGGACTACATTCAAAATAAGTATGCAACAAAAACTATGCAGAAAAAAAGAAAAACAAAGACTACAAGGATAATGCAAGAAATTCTAGCCTCTGCTGTGGTTGACTCAATCACTCAGTGTAAAATAAAGGGTATAAAAAGTAAGAGAAGAATTAGCTTTCCAGATATGCATTGCAGGCATAATAACCATAAAGGATGAAGAGATCTCTTCTTGCACCAAGTTAGCATATCGACTTCAGGATGAGAAATATCAGTTTAAAAGTGATCTGTATTTGGTCTTTTCACAGCACTTATTTTTAGCTTACGAAAAATCTCTCTTCAAAGACACTGCTGAACTGGTTATAGAAAAACACTGAGGCTTTAGAAAACATTTCAGCAGCAAGTAGGAGAGACTCTTTCAAAGCAGGCTAGATATCGTCTGCTACTCAGATTAAAACTCTGATGGAAAGATTCAAGATGCCTTTTTTTTTTCCAGTCCCATTACTTCTCAGTTTATTTCAGAAGAATCTATCTCACTTTCTTGCCATGCTTCAAATTAAACACATCTCTCAGTATATTCAGAAAAACATACACATCTTTTCTTGTTACTCATTAATAATGACAGCACGTATAAAGCAAGTACTGCTTTGGAGACATACTTCTGCGAAGTATGAAAATTAAATGAAATTGGAAAAAAAACAACACACTGTATTATTTGATACGAAACTAATTGCTGAAATGCAGAAACCTATACTCTTGACAGAATCACGAACACCAGAAAGGGTTTTGGAGAATTACAATAACCTTTGTAGCAACCATGACTTAACAAGTAAAAGCCTGTTATACACCCATTAAATACTTCAAAGAAAAATTAAAATCAATGCTTATATTATTTTTGTATGACAATTCAGATCTTCTGCCAATCCTGTTCATTCAGGAATACAATACGCTTCCCTTTGTTAAAATGTTTCGAGGGTTCCCCACCAACTGAATGCAGTTAAAATACAGAAAGCAAAATAACCACCCACAGCATCGCAAAAAGCTACATGTGAATTTATTTTGAAATATTTAATAAAATACTGAAATTTAAGTCCAAAACAATATTAATATCTAGTTCATTCTCCACCTCCCACAGCTGTATACAGTCTTTTTCTTTCGTGATACCTTTATGTCGTCAATACGCAGCTGATTTTATGGTAAACAGTGAAGCTAAGCGTTGCATGGTTACGTTAGGCAACTGAAGACGAGTTCACATCACAGGCAACTTAAATGCAGTGTCAATTTAGTCGTGATTCAATTAAGTTCAATGTATAAGCTTTTATGCATTCATCTCACCCTTCCTCCCTCCCATCCACTTTTTTTTCCTCAGTTACTGCCGCTGTCATGAATTACTAGAAACTTCATGAAGTTGAAGATATTTATAATCTTCCCTCTTCCTCTCTAGGAAAAAAAATATATTTATTTCTCACTAAAGAAATTGACCTGCAGAACCTCTTATGGCCCCAAGACCTCCTGTTTCCCCAGAAGGAGACGGCTACAAGTCATTCTGCAGAACAAGGCATGTGCATCACGTTTTCTGGATATCAAACACTTCCAAGACAAAAGTCTTTATCCGTACTTGTGCACATCTCAGTTCCCCTGCACATAAACAGGAAGAAGGTTCTGTGTTGCATTCCTTTTGCTCACGGTTTCCCACTTAGACATTTCCTTTTTGTCCTAATAGATAGCAGACAGCAAAGACTGATTTAGCTGAAATACTTGCTTCAGCTTAATTTAAAGAGTTAGACAAGGATGTCTCAATCTTGACGAGACCGGAGATGCGTATCATACAGATAAAGCTGCATTTATAAGCAGTGATGACAACAGTCTACCATTTAGCGAGTAAGAGAGAATGGCAGGATTCACAACCCAAGCCAATTAAGCACCATCACTTCCTTCCATCTGGCAGAGAGACTGCAAAAACACTTAATTAAGCAATTTGATCTCTCTGCCATAGCTAAAACAATTCAAACTTTCAGCATTTTCAGCTTTTGCATTTTCAGCCTGTACAACACAGCCACTTTAACAAACACATGGTGTGTCAGTTCAGCGTTACACCAGCATTGGTGTAATAGCTGAACTTGAAAGCTGAAATACAGAGAAAGAGTCCAGCAAATTCTGGACTGCATGATTTCATGGAGATAAATGCATTTATGATGAACTAGAACTGTAAATTATCTGAAACATGACTAAACTTTTATTTAGTTGTAGGTCTAACATATATCACCAACATACATAGCTGTAGTTCTCCCTCTCTAGTTTAAAGTCAGAGTAAATTCCAATAACAATGCAAATAGTTATCCAAAACAGAAAACAAAATGTTCATGGGGAAAAAAAAAAAAAAATCACAAAATATTCATGCAAACATAGACAAATTAGTGCAAATAGGGTTTTTCTTGTTTTGCTTTTGTTGTTGCTGTTGTTGAACGTGTTTTAAAATTTTTAAATAATCTTTGACAAAAAAAAAAGAGCACTGTTTCACACAAAATATACCTGCTTGTCCAAACAAAAAGGGGAAAGGAAAAGTTACCAATGGAAAACATATTAAATGATAACTTTCAGACTGAAATAATTAACTGAACATGAGCTTACCTTTACTTGGAGCTGATTTTCTCACAGAAGCTACATGGTCTTCAGAGATAGCAAGGCGCCTTAGCACATCAGCCAATGCTGCTTTTAGGACAGTGATTTCATCTTCTTGTTGTTGTACTCTCAGCTCTAAGGCTGAAAGTCGGTCTTGGACATCAGATGTGCTTGCAGCTGAGATGCTGTCATCTGTATGGAGTCAAAACAGTAGAAAGAGAGATTTAATTGTTTTATTCTAAACCAAAAGCCATGGAAAGACATGTACAGCATGAATAAGTCTGTCCCTATACATCCTTTTGAAGTACTCAAGATGTTCAAACAAATGTGTTCAGGCAAAGGAGGAGGAGATATTATATTAAATAAATCAAATTAATGCTTCAAGATAGAAGTATTTCTAGTCATCAGCTAAGAAGGCTTAAATAGCACGGCTCCACTATAAGCAAAAGAGGAAATCACTTTCTGTTAGATGTGTAGAAGGAATAATATGCTTTTATCAGTTTAATAAAGCCTGAAATTAAGTTTTTTTACAAAGCCAGCTAAACTATGGTTGAATTTTGTAATGCATTCTTTTGGTACCGTTGGAGAATTTTAAATGACATAAAAATTTAAAATGATATGAAGTTACAAAAAATACAGTTGGAACAAACAAGTATCCGAGGTTTTTTTGTGTGTGCTTTGTTTTTTTTTTTTTTTAAAACCATCACCACCTTACACAGGCTCAAAAAAAAAAAAAAAAAAAAAAAAAAAAAAAAAAAAAAAGCCAACATTATTTTAACATTTGGCTTGAAGTGAAAAGAAAGTAAATATACTAAAAAAAGGTTCCAAAAATCTGTTTGGCCACACAGAGATAGATTAGCATTAAAGGCATACTCTGGCCAAATCTATTCTTCAGTGGTAAAAAGGAAATTACAGCTTCTGCATATTCTTTGCTTTTGACAGTTCTTTGCATTATTTCTGCCAAGCCAAAATAACACATAACAGATTTTCATATTTGGCTGTTCCAATAAGTCACAGTCTAACCACTAAAAAAGATCCATAAAAGAATACATTGCTCAATCACAAGGTACTGAATTCCTTATTCATCCTGTTTTAATCTTATTAAAACTCAGGAAGGAATGGTTTACAAAATGTAACTTTTATTCTACAACAGACAGTATGAAATATTTTACGAAATAATTCCAAACAGAAAATTCACACATTAGGGGAAGGCACTGGATCTTACTACTGTGATTATATACAACCCAAACTTTAGCTCACTAATCTGATAAATAACAAGGAAAAACGTTGATATAAGGACAACTACAAATTTGTCACTAAATAGCTTAGCCTTTGAAGAATCTGTATAAGTGAAACACAAGTCAAACTGCTCCAATTAATTAAAAATGAGAGATTTGAGTGCCAACTTCCATGCTTTTAAAATACAAAGCCTACATGTATGATAGCCATTACTGAAGGAGTAAGAATTTAATTGACTGAAAAGAAAACCATGATAATCTTACGAAGTGAAAAAATTCCTGCAAGGAGTTAGCAAAACAAAATAATAACCATAGTGAAATGTTAATTTTTATTAAACTGAAAGGAATAGTTAAGATCAGACTGATAGGACAACTCCCAAAAGAAAACAGTTTTGCATAATAACTTAATTCACTATTTTGTCAAACCAAGAACAGAAATATATCATTTCATGTTTAATATAGTGCTAATAATAATACATATTAATAAATAAGAAGAACTGTAGAGGAATTCATAAGATATGCAATCAGACTGAGTCCCAGAGACAATGGATCAGAAGAACTCTGAACAAAATGCCTTCAGTATCACCAGCCATAATAGTAAACCATCTACACAAAAAAAGGTTATTTTTTAAGGAGATATTTTAATAATTCTATAACTTAGCTTGTTCTCTGATCTCTCACTGGTATCTTAGAAATCCACACCATGACTGCTACTCCAGTTAGAAAGAACTGTAAGTTCATCTATTGAAAACTCTATTTTCAAAGAATAAAAACCCATCTGCTGTAAGGAGTTACAGGATATTCCTACAAGCATACATGTATATCTACATGGCACATAAAAAGGAACTGAGGTCAATTTACATCAATTAAGTCATGAAGAGTTTTGACTTTAGCAAAGTGGATTGAAAGAAGAACCACATAATTCATACTGCTGCTGTAATTACAGTATTAGCCTTTAAAGAAATGCACAGGACCAGACAAAATGAACACTGTAAATAAACAATGGCAATTATTTTAAAAGTAATTATCACAATCTTCACATCTCATCTCTTTATACTAGAAGTCTAAGCAAACACAAAAGTGTGACATTTCTTTTAACTTTTATTTTTCACGTCTTATTTTTACTTGTCTGTTAAAGTCTTCAATTAATCAAATATTAATATGTCTGATAGTGGTTAAATGTCCAGGTACTTCAAACAGGCAGCACATTACTATAAAAGATTTGTAAAAGAACTAAGTAGTTCTCTCTTAGCTATGGCAAACCATCATTTTAGAAGCCAGACATAGCTCTGTTCTTTGTGTGAAGTCCAAAAAACAGTAATTACCAAGCCAGTAAATGCTCCAATGTCGGTTTCTCTTTGATGAGCACAGCCAGAAGTGCACTACAAGGGCTTTTTTTTTTTATTTTTTCTCAACCTCCACTGTCTACCAGTATTGACAAGACTGCCTGTGCCAAGCTCAAGCACCTCAGAAAAGAGGCTCATTAGATTGCTCTTGCCAGCCTCAAAGTCAGAGTTTTGCCACTCATTACAAATCTCCAAGGGCCAATAGAGAGGCAAGGCTTTCTGCATGTAAGAGGAAGCTGCAATTTTGCAATCTCCTCAACATAAACTAAGATGGTGTAGAAGTTGAGCAATGTTGGTCTCTACTTGTGCTATGGAGGTTCAGCCCCTAAACAAAGCCCAGTGAGTTGATGCAGAAGCACTCGCAAACCCAACAACCTGTCAGAGATGGCAGGTGTACAAATGGGACATAAAAAGGAAATCAAGAAGATTAAGACATTTAGCTGACTCAGAAATAGGTAAAGCGATGGGCTGTGTGCTTAGTGGGAAAAAACAACCAGCAGCTGCTTTGCACTGCAAAGGCAGCACATGAAGCACAATGACTGAAAGAAGCTTAACATCAAGAAGATCACCTGGAAATTAAGATTATTTTGTTTGACCAAGAATCACAGTCACACACTGTGAAGACATTTTGGTATTCTCTATCACTCTACAGAAGCAGGCTATGCTCTAAGTGATGACAACTAAACATCACGTAGGAGAACTGAAAATGAATGATTCCCAACCCAAACACCTCACCCAGGAAAGCAAATACTCAGCTGAACTCCAACATGCCCTTCTTGACAGCGCCTTGAAAGTAAATCAGCTAGGAATTAGTTTAAAAGAAGATGCCTTGAAAGTAAATACCACTGCAATCCTTGAGATTAGTTTAACGAATCCGCGAGGTATGTTTTCAAAATATCTGGCTCTGGGGGATTTCTTGCTTTAAAAACACATACTTTTAATCCAGAGAACTTTTTCAGAAGAAATTTAAACAAAAAACTTCCTTCAAGAGCATGCCGTTCTCTTTATTAATGCAAGTTCAAAGTCAGTCACAAGCGAAACTTTAATTTATTGTTCCTTTCTCTTCTCCCACTCCTAAACATCTGGCCATTCCCTCATGCCACATGGGGCATATCCAGGCCTTCCATAAGCCACTCAGCTTAATAAACTGGACGGAGCTTCTTTTACTCAAAAAGAGAAATAAGGTCAGAAAATCAAGCCAGAGACTTCAGTGAAATTCACTATTTATTTGAATTAATTGACTTCATTTTCAATGGGACTTTCATCTGGTTATTTTTTGTTATAACAAAATGGTAAAATTTCTGATGCTCTGGTCATTTTTCCCAAGATGCCCATAAACTCTACTCTCAAGAGGGACTTTGCAACAAGATCCATTGTGAAGAAAGCACCATCTGCACTGCTGACTGGTGAAACAAAGGAATCTTCATGTAAATGGGGGCCTGAGGTTTTTCCGCTTTTGAAAAGCAGTGTAAGGTAAGAGTATTACAATGCAAAAAAAGGCAAATATATGCTAGGTCTAAACATATGTCACACTGTAACTTCCAAAATGAGATTTGCTATTTCATCATACTTCACCAGTTTGATTCTTAATTTTAGCCATTAAAATATTAACTTTCCTCCCACTTTTGAACTAAGCAGGGATGTGCTTTGTTGGTAGCCAAGTGGCACTTAAACAGATGCATTATGCTCCATGGAACTTCTCACAGTCATAAATGAAACCTCTCCCAGCAGTCTGAACAAACCTGCAGCTCACAAGTTCCCTTAGGTTTTGTCAAGGAGCTCTGCCAGTGGGATTCAACGCATAATGAAGGTACTAAGAACTCTCAACACACCTTTAACTCTCCTTCTCATGTATCACTGAGCAGGTACATGAGAATAACAGTATTTGAAAGATATCACCCTTAATCACTGTCTGTTTGAGAAAAAACTGAGCACTGTACATTTAAAACATTTGTATTTTTATATATATATATCTTACATATATATTATATATTATTTTATTATATATATTATATATACACATTATATATTATATCTCTTACATATATATATATTATATTATATCTCTTATATATATTATATTATATCTCATATATCTTACAACTGAACTGGGGCCCCTAAACAATTCCAAAGTATCCATTATCCCTTCTCAGAGCCAACTCCTGCCAGCTCTGACTAAACGTAAGTAAGGACTTTTAGACACAAGGAACGTTTCAGAAAAACAAATTCTACAAGCTCCAGCACTTGGAAATTTAAACCACAGGATGGAAAATCCTACATTTTGTCCAATAAAACCACATAGACCACAGATATTTTTAAACCACTGTCTGCCAAGGCACCCACACAGTTTTCTGTTTTCCCCAGAGCACTAAGAGTCTTTTATTACAGAAATGCAACAGAAATTACTTGGACTGGTATAAAGATCTGGCTTACAATTTCAGAAGACAACTGACCCAAAAGAATCCCTGCTCACTAGAACTACGATGTGCACAGGAAGGCAAGTATTGGCACAGCCTGAAACTTTTGTTCTGAAGACCACTGAATAATTTGACTCTGGCTGAGGGTTTTAGCTCCAGAGAGATAACAGACAAATTTTTCCTACCAAGTT